TTTAGTTTCTGGAGTAATTGACTATATTTTATAAACAATTGTGTGTAGGAACGATCGAAAATGTTTGTGATTAAGACACGAATTATTTAAAATATTAATTTATTGTCGCTGAAAATGTTAAAAATATTTATCAGAGTTACTTAAGATTTTTGGCAACTATTCCAAGACGAATCGCCTGACTAGAATATACAGGGTGTGACGCCTAGAATCGTAACAGAATATCTTCGTTGTTTTTGGTGTCATGAACAAGTTTCAATGGGTAAAATATTTCAATATGGCACCAGTGTGAAATAAGTGTTTTTTCAAGGTCTCCCGAATTATCATAATTGTAGATTTTATTGAAACTAAATCAAATTCTGTATGTATAAATTGTTGACATTCTTTGTCAGCAGACATTATAATTTACAATAAGACTTAAGAACGTACTTTTTATAAAAATAAAACAAATTTTAAGAAGATAAATATCGCTTGTTTATTAGCATATTTTATTGCGTGAATCGGATGTTAAATGAAAACGTAGTGCTCTTTCAAATAATATTAATAAGTCGTTAACGACGTTCTTAAGTTCTTACAATATCTACATAGTTTCCTATTTTGCTTATGCACTTTCAATGCATTCCTTTTTTATTATAAACAGTTACGGAAAACAAAATCTAAAGAAAAAATTTCTTAACTATATTAGAGATTTTATTAAATTTCGGAAAAGATAAAACTCTCATTAAATGAATTTTATAGAAAATGGAAAATATTTAAAAATTATATTAAGTTTCTGACAGCCAATTGAAATTTTCACACGTTTCCGTAATGCCTAAATGAACGAACGTGTCTAAAAGGAACAATTAAAAAAACATATTAACAAAAATTGATATATAAAGTTATAAATGATCTTGAGCATACTCGGTTATATTGTTATGAAAAAGTTTCATCGTTCGTACGTTAAACGAAAATTTCATTTGAACTTAGCATCTGTTTTATACACTCGACGTGGAAAATGTTTATTTATTATAAAAATTCGTAGTTTGATCACGATGCATATTTTCTTAGAGCGGACAACTTTCTCGTGTTCTTATCTCATTAAAACGAACGAAGATATTTTAGATTCTAGTCTTGGGCGATCCGTCCTGTATATTGTCACGATCATTGGCGACTATACGAGAACGGTGCAACATTTCACAGCAGTTGCATACACGCTGCACAATATAGTCGAACAGCTGATCGCAAAATTGACGTGGCTGGCCACGTGCTTTTGGCGCGTGGTTGCAGAGAGTTTTTCTGTTCGACCAGCCGACATAAATACCTACGACTACCTATAAATATTAGCTCTTGTCGCCTAGGTGCATCGATACCCAGCAGATATGACTAAAATAGTGACCATGTGTGTCACTTGATCGTTAGTCAGTCCTCGATTGAAATCATCTGATAAATGATCTCACTGAGGCGATTCGGCCGTCGACCATTGTTATTGCGTACTTTCCCTATATTGTTTCTTTAACCGTTCTTCTCGGGGATTACCCGAGGCAATAGCACATGCTAATTCTGTAGTTCTGTATTGTCTTTGTTTATTGAACGCAATATTTTATTAATATAGATCATATAACTCGAATTAAGTATTTTTATTTTGTAATCTAACATAATGGAATCATAAAAATTGATGATCTCCTTCACAATATAATTTGATCTAATGTTATACTAGTTTCATAAATAACTTTTGAGAATGGTAAAAGTGTTTGCACATTAATTAAACTGCGAATTTTTTTGCTGTATTCTTTATTTTGAGAATAGAATAGAATTTTGTATCAGCTTCTTCATTGAAAATCCTTCAAACTTGCTGTACTTTTTATTTTGACAATAGCATCTCCTTTTGATATTGTATCAGTTTCCTAAATCAAGATTCTTAAAAACGTCGGATATGTCCGCTGATCAATTAAAGATTTTATTTTTAAAACGAAGAATGCGACAACAAATTCTAAAGTTTAATTTTCCACGGTGATGCAATTTTGTAGTAAAAAAAATAAGGTACCTTAGAAAGGTACACGATGCAACTATGTATTTTGGATTACATTCCTGGTCAGAAAATCATGGCTATAGTTAGACTTCGGATTTGAAGAACAATGAAAACATTAAAAGTATTTACGGATCTCTTGTTGCACTAGTTTCCATTTATTGAAACTGTTGAAAGAAGCGGTACATCTTTATTTAACCTGTTCCGTATAATTGACGGAAACAATTTTTATTTTGTATAAAAGTCCGTAGTCTGATTATAGCATATTTTAATATTACATAATATCACGTAGAACGTATTTTGCTACCGAGAGTTTGAATATTTCGCTTTCTACAGAATTTTCAAAGAATAGTTTGTTTGCATATGTAACTCCGTAACAGGAGAAGAATTTTAACACTGTTCAATTATTTAAAATTCACAGTACTTTAGGCCATTTAAATCAATGTTTTCGTAGCTTTTAAGATATTAGTTTCAAAATGATAGATATTAAGGAACCCAGAAAGTGTCTAATACAAATAGGGAAAATAAAGATAAATAAACTAAATAGAACAAAAACAAAAATGCCCTTTTCTTGCCTATCGATTTCTCAATTATTTTTCTGAATTGACAATTCTGTACGAGGCTAGTGACCAAAAATGATTTAGAATTGTTATATCGCTTACTGTGAATTTCACGAAACAATCTGAATAAAATCTAAAAAAAAACTGAATACAATTTTGTAGATTTGTACTAAATAAATCAGAAACAATACATACAACAAGACTGTGTTTGCTAAATGTACCATTCGGTTTATAGCATTAACAAGTAAATACATAATATTTTGTAA